CTTGTGTTTTAAGCCCCTCCCATTGCTCTAGACCAGGCTGCCCAAACATTTTGAGAGCAAGATCTACTTTTTCTCTCACCAGCCGCCTGAGATCTACCTCATCACACAAAGACATAAAAATTGAAAATTAAACTCTATTGACTTATTTTCTATGCAAACATCCATCGGAACCGAACCGAAACGCACTGAATTGCGCAACACCTTGTTGAACCAATAATTACTGAGATTATTCATTTTAACACTTTTCGTTGATTTTTTTTAATAATTATTCTTTTTTAATGAAGTTAGAAACGTTTAGGATCTTAGTGAATATTTTTGATAAGCCAATCAGAAGAGGAAGGGCTGGTCTCAGCGTCCTGGCAGTGTTGTCACCTGCCGAGATCGACTCAAAACCTTTCCGAGATCGACCGGTCGATCACGATCGACGTATCGGGCAGCCCTGGTCAGCTACTTGAGAGAGGAGAAAGGGTAGTCCACCTAAACCACCTCTGGGCCTGTTTGAGGAAAAAGTCAGGCTATGCCACAAATACCTGTGTGTGTGTGTGTGTGCATGTGTGCATGTGTGTGCGCGTGCGTGCGCGTGCGTGTGTGTGCGTGCGTGCGTGCGTGCGCGCGTGCGTGCGCGTGCGTGCGCGTGTGTGTGCGTGCGTGCGTGCGTGCGCGCGTGTGTGCGTGCGCGCGTGTGTGCGTGCGTGCGTGTGTGCAGGTGGTGGCAGAGTGGAAGCAGAAACATGAGGAGGGTCAAGCAGAGTTGGAATTGGCCCTGAAAGAGGTCCGGTCTCTGGGGACGGAGAACTTCAAGATGAAGAACGCCTTGGAGGAATGCCTGGAACAGCTGGAGACCTTCAAACGGGAGAATAAAAACCTGCAGCGTGAGGAAAAAACTATTTTAAACTCATACCGATGCTTTAATAACAGATGATCTGATTTAGTTTTCATTGTAGAGGAAATAATGGATCTGACAGAGCAGCTGGGGGAGACGGGAAAAACGCTCCATGAGCTGGAGAGGTCCAAGAAGCAGGCGGAGCAGGAGAAGATGGAGGCGCAGGCTGCTCTGGAGGAAGCAGAGGTGAGTTAGAGGGAACGTCAGGCAGGAAACGCAGCTCCAACGGCGTGTTTTCCGAAGCGCAGGCCTCTCTGGAGCACGAGGAGTCGAAGATCCTGCGGGTCCAGCTGGAGCTGAACCAGCTGAAGTCGGAGGCGGACAGGAAGATGGCGGAGAAGGAGGAGGAGCTGGAGCAGCTGAAGAGGAACGGCCAGCGGGCGGCGGACGCCATGCAGAGCAACATGGACGCCGAGGTCCGCGGCAGGAACGACGCGCTCAGGCTGAAGAAGAAGATGGAGGGAGACCTGAACGAGATGGAGGTCCAGCTGAGCCACGGCACCCGGCTGGCGGCCGAGGCCCAGAGGCAGCTGAGGAACACCCAGGTCCAGGTCAAGGTGAGGAGGGGTCAGAGGTCACTGGGTCGTCAGCCACCTGTTCATCCGGCCATCTGTTCATCCGTCCATCTGTTCATCCATCCATCTGTTCATCCATCCATCTGTTCATCCAGCATCCATCCATCTGTTCATCCATCCATCTGTTCATCCGACCATCTGTTCATCCATCCATCTGTTCATCCGACCATCTGTTCATCCAGCCATCTGTTCATCCGACCATCTGTTCATCCGACCATCTGTTCATCCATCCATCTGTTCATCCATCCACCTGTTCATCCATCCATCTGTTCATCCATCCATCTGTTCATCCATCCATGGCCCAATAAACATCAAGGTGCAGAAACGGGTCAGAACCTGGAAGGAACCAGAGTTCCTCCCTGCTTCCCTCCATCCATATTAGTTGAACATAAATGATCCCATGTAGAACCTTCTCGATCCCTGATCCGGTCAGAGCTGCTTGTTTGGATGCTGTGTGTCCAGGAGCTGCAGATGCAGCTTGACGACTCCCTGAGGAACTCCGAGGACCTGAAGGAGCAGCTGGCCGTGTCTGAGCGCAGGAACCACCTGCTGCAGGCCGAGCTGGACGAGGTCCGCTCGGCCCTGGAGCAGACGGAGCGGAGCCGCCGGCTGGCCGAGCAGGAGCTGCTGGACGCCAGCGAGAGAGTCCAGCTGCTGCACGCCCAGGTTCACGGCAGCCCTCAGACCTGGAGTTAAAGGGGCAGCGTCACTTAAAACCCACTTTTTCACTCCACATCACGTTACTGACTCATCAGAAACAAACCTGGAGTTTTACTTTGATCCTTTCATGTTTGAGAAATGCTTTAATCTCCATGGCAACCATTCAGCTGTGCAAAACGTCTGGGTGGCCCTAGCCCCGCCTCCAGGATGCAGCTCCTCCCCCACGCAGCTCCTTCAGACTAGCCAGCAGCAATTAGCAAACAGCTGGTGGAGCTGCTGAGCTGCTTCTGTTTGGTAAAAACGTTGTTAAAGGGTTAATAAAGGAGCCATGTTGAGCACCTGGAGGTGGAGCTTCAGAAAGAGCAGGAGTTTTTAAAGGGACAGACACACAACTTCAAAATAATTAAAGTTAAGTCATATTTGACATATAGAAAACACGTTACTGCCCCTTTAAGTCAGTAATCCTGTAATACTGATGAAAAATGACTAGGTGCAGTGGCAAATTTTTAAACCTATTTCATCAATATTAAGAAATGATTTACATGAAACAGGTTCCTATATCATGCTGAGAAGATATTTACACTAGAAAATAGACTAAAAATACTTGGTGAGATTTTGTTTTTGCAGTGCGCTGGTGAACAACTGATCATCCCGTTCGTTTTTCCATCGCGTCATGATTTAAAAACGCTTCCCTACTGCTTCTTGTGCATTTAGGAGTTGAAACTGGTTAGATTTCTGCGTCTGATCTGAGGCGTTTATGCGACCCTGCAGAACACCAGCCTGCTGAACGGCCGGAAGAAGCTGGAGGCCGACCTGTCCACGATTCAGGCCGAGATGGACGACGGCGTCCAGGCCGCCAGGAACGCCGAAGAGAGAGCCAAGAAGGCCGTCACCGACGTGAGCTGGCTGCCGTTTGGTTCGTCCTGTTGGCACCAGCCGCCATTTTGCTGTTTCACTTCGTTTTTCAGGCGGCCATGATGGCGGAGGAGCTGAAGAAAGAGCAGGACACCAGCAGCCACCTGGAGAGGATGAAGAAGAACCTGGAGGCCACGGTGAAGGACCTGCAGCAGCGCCTCGATGAGGCCGAGAGCCTGGCCATGAAAGGAGGGAAGAAGCAACTCCAGAAGCTGGAAGCAAGGGTAAAATATGGGAAATGTCTGATAAAATATGGGAAATGTCTGATAAAATATGGGAAATGTCTGATAAAATATGGGAAATGTCTGATAATTGAGCTGAGATTTCAGACGTGAGGCCCAGAGGAGGACAAAGTGCCAGAATCTGTCCAAAAGGAGGAGCAGCTCTACTTTAACATATTTTTACTCAAGTAAAAGTAAAAAGCAGCTGTCCAATAAATCACATAATAGAAAGAAAGTTTTTGGTATAAAGATTATAGACGGAACAAAACAGGAAGTTACGTGGACATTTTGGTATTTTATAGATAAAACTAATTAATTCAGATAATATGATTACAAAACATTAAAATCAGGCAAAACAAGCATTTTTCCAAATCAGTTACTTTCGATGTAAAACTTGTGAAACGTTAACAAAAGCTGTAAAACAATCTAGTTTTAAATTCAGTGAAGTTACAGCAGGCGGAGAATCCAGACATTTTCCTCAAAAGTAAAATGTTCAGCGAAGTGGAAATACTCCAAAAGTTACTGGAGTAAAAGTAACTGCTGGTTGTTGGTCTCGTTCTCCAGGTGAGGGAGCTGGAGAACGAGCTGGAAGCAGAGCAGCGACACGGATCCGATTCCATCAAGGCGCTTCGCAAGCTGGAGCGCAGGATCAAGGAGCTCACATACCAGGTGAGAAGAACCTGTAGTTTTTATTTTACAGCTGTGACCATCTGTAACTTCCTGTGTGCAATAAAACCCAGTCTGAGGAGGACAGGAAGAACGTGACGAGGCTGCAGGAGCTGGTGGGCAAACTGCAGCTGAAGGTCAAAGCCTACAAGCGGCAGGCTGAGGAGGCGGTGAGTCGCCTCCCTCCATCATCTGCCAGGTGGCGGCCGCTCGGCAGGTCAGATTTATTTGATTTACTTTGTTTTACAGGAAGAGTAAGCCAACAGCCATCTGAGCAAACTGAGGAAGGTTCAGCATGAGCTGGAGGAGGCTGGAGAGCGGGCAGACATCGCCGAGTCTCAGGTCAATAAAATGAAAGCAAAGAGGCGCGACTTGGCCAAGGTGAGGCGCTCAGACGTGCAGCAGATATTAAAACTTATGAACATGTGCAAAATTCACTTACTGGAGGTTTTTTGCTAATATTTCAGCCAAAAGACAGCGGCGAGTAGTCATCACTGGTTGCCACGACGACAGCAAAACCTGAGTTAGTTTGCAACATACTCTTAACCAAAGCTGCTTCGCTTTAAATTAAAGTCAGTTTGTGCAACATTTCATCTCATGATGAAATTTTAATACTTCAGACTTTAGAATAAGTGGATTATTTTCTTCACGCTGCTGCAGAGGTTTTCTACCACCAGAGGGCGACAGCACCGCGGTTTTTACACATCCTGACTTAAATAAGAAGTGGAGCAGTGACCTTCAGGAAGTGACTGTGTGTTATAGCTGTTGTATGTTGCTTTAAATGTAATAAACATGTACAAATTAAATGTTCTTTTTCATTCTATATTAGGCTCCCGACCCCATTAGGGACCAGGGTGCACAGAAAATGGATGGATTCTGTATTAGGCCACAGAAAAAGCTTTGATGGAAAAGATTAAGTTGTTTAACAAGTTGCATTTGTCCTGCAGAGATATCTGTAAAAGTTCATAGAAAACTTTTGTGTTAATACATTAAAATTAACTCATACATTTTTGCAGTAATAAAAGTATTTAGTCCAACAGGATGCCAGGATTTGGAGGTAGATTGTAGATCGATACGGTTTATTACTTTTTATGACTGATTTTCCAGATGTTTTATCCATTTAAAAAAAACTAAGGTTTACAGTTTTATAGCTCTAAAATAATTTTTAAATCTGTTTATGTTCCTAAATGCATCATGAATGTACATTTTAACCCATCAGACAAGTTTTTTATGCAAGTTTATTGTACATCAGATTTAGACAAAAAATGAAGCAATAATAAAAAAAACAAATTAAAAAAGGCAAAAACTGATAATATGAATGTTTCTGTAAATATTTTTGAAAAGCAGCTGTCTGAAATTTAAAACATGAACTTTGACACAGGTTGCCATGGTGATTCCCACCTTTTCAGGGACCCGGTAACCGAGTTTTTGACAGTCGAAGCTAAAATGCGACATTCTGAGCCAAAATCCACAAAACCTTGGAAACTAATTCTGTAAAAACCAAAAACAGGATCAAACTGAAAATTCAACCAAGCAAAGTCAGAATTTCTCAGTCCAATAAAAACTCACTCAGCTGGAAATGTGCATATTTTTTCTAACTTTGCTGAAATCACTACAGGAACCCAAACGATCCAGTCCTGACTGATGGAAACGTTGGATTAATGAGCCCCGCAGCCTGAACTGGAGGCCTAATTTCAAAAATCACATCATTAACTCATTTATAATTTTAAGAAGTTTTTTTAGAATCACTGAAAAAGACTCAAGATTTGACATAAATAAGCTTTAAAGCACTTACTGTAAACTTAAACACAATGGATTCTCAAAGCTTCCTTCAGTTTTGACTGTAATCTGTTTCCCAACCTGTAGGTGGAGCCAAACCTGATCATCCATCTGTAAACAGGAAGTACTGCTAGTGTTTTGAGTCTTCACCCCCCATGACACAAACAGGAAACCTGAACTGAATGACATCATTTAATTGGCTGACAAGAAATCCTGATATAAAAACAGCAAATGAGTAAAAGGACACAAAGTAATGAAATAAGACAGCAGCAGTGAGACGCCTGAGGTCTGTCAGTTCGTGCTGGGCCTTAAGCCCCGCCCCCTCATCACTTCTGTTTCTGGTACTTCCTCATGTGAGCTGCGATGGCGCCGCTGATCTCCGCGCTGCGCTTGTTCTGCCCAAAGTAATCGACGAACTCTCCGTCGGGTCCCACCAGGTACATGATGATGGTGTGGTCCACCTGCGGGCGACAGCAGCCAGTGAGACGCTCGGCCTGAACGCTGGCGTCGGAGCGCGGCGCGGCGGACTCACGATGTAGTCGTTGTCCTCGTCCTTCGGCCCCTGGCTGTAGTAGACGCGGTACGCTCTGGACACCTGCTCCACCTGAGCCACCGACCCCGTCAGCCCAATCAGCTTCGGGGAAAACTCTGCAGCAGCCAGGAAATGCTAAATTAACTTCATTCATTTAATTTTTGAGGATTTAATTTTTGGAAAATCTAGATTTTTTTTCCTGGTAATGTTCTTGTTTCACCTGCATGTTTTACTTGGATTTAATTCAGGTCGACTCTAGGCCAGACTATAGTTAAATATTCATAATATTATAAAATCATTATGTTACCAGGGTACAATCTGGTGATATCATGACAATCGGGATCACAGATTGCTTCAAGTCATGAGATCTCTAGATTAGTTATCTTCTGACTAATCTAGAGCTAATCCACAGTATTTACTAGGAAATACTGTGGATTTTGTGTCAACATAAAAAGTGATTAGAAATCCTGAACCTGCAGCTCAGGACTGAAAAGGCAGACAGAAAAAACAAACAGAATCTGATCATGAATCACTGATGACTACGGACGATTTGTGCACTGGCACCTTTCACATACGCAGCCATGGCCTCTGCAGTGTCTCTGTCTGGATCTATGGTGATCAGGATGGGTGTCAGGTTTGGAAGAGACTTGATTCTGTCTGCAGAAACACAAACAGGAAGTCTATCAACGCCGCAAACCTCAGCCTGTAGTTCTGTTTAAAGACTCAATCGATCACCTATCTCATCCACCACCTCGATCATCTTCTCGATCTCGTCGGGGCAGATGTCTGGGCAGTGCGTGAAGCCGAAGTAAATCAGGATCCACTGGCCCAGGAAGTCCTCGCTCCTGGACGGTTTGTTGTTGTGATCGATGAGGGAGAACGGGCCGCCCAGCGCCGGCCGGCCCAGAGACTTGTTCCGCTCCTTCTCAATCACTGACGGGCAAAACCACAAGACTTTTACCAACATAATCCAAACCATTTCCTTCTGAATTGGCAGGAGAAAATCAGGGAATCAAAGTTTTTAGTACCACTTCATGCATGGAGCTACTCACACTCCTCTTTTTCCTTCTTGAAATATTTCATCCCTCCCAGCAGAGCTCCTCCGATAGCAAACGTCACCGCTAAGGATTTCCACGTCACAGGCTGAAATGTTCAGATGGAAAACATGAACCAAGACATCAGCTCACTGATGAATAAGCTTCACATCATAGGAATAAAAATCACCAAGACAACGCTAAAATCTCCCAAAACTCCACAGAAAACCTGAGATTTCAGGTCATATTTCCAAATATTTATCAAAAAAACAATAATAATAACACACCCACTGAAAGACATGGTGGTGGAAGCATCATGCTGCGGGCTTGCTTTTTGTTACCCTAAAATTTGGATTTTTGTAATTATCTTCAATTGGTGACTGTTTTGTCACTTTTATGACTATTTTTTTCATGTAAACCACTTCGAACTGACTTGCTGCTTACATATAGCACAAAGATGGAAACAAAGTTTGTTTGTTTTTTTAGTTGGACTGTTCCACATTAAAAGATTTACCCCCGACTTCTTGGACTTGTCGCCTGAAGAGGGCATTGAGGAAAACGGTCTTGAGCTGTGAAGCTTCAGCCATTGTGTTCCTCTGAAGGTGCGCCACCTGCTGGCGTTCACCTGAAAGAAACAGGTGAAATATGGCAAACCGTTAGAAGCTTTTATAAATCACCACATCCAGTTTTTCGTGGAAAGCAATTTTTACAAATACAATTATAGGTTAACGTACAAAATGACACCACCGAATTTTCAGGAGGAGTACACAGATAAAGTTGCACTTACAATAATGTCTACATTTTGATTTAAATGTATGTAAAATGGAAATCGGCGCTAATTTGCCTGTTTTCTTCTATGGAGTTCGGTGGAAGCTCCAAGCTTTGACCTACCAGGTAGCAGAGCTCTGTCCGCGCTGACAGCGAGTGTTTCCGCCCGGCTTCCCTTCCAGTTAAACTGTGAGCGAGTCTGACGGCTCGGTTCTGGAGGGCTTTACTCTGAACCAGCCAGCAGCCGAGGTTCTGAAACAGAGCGCTCATGTTGGCTTTAACCTTTACGGAACCGCTGTTGTTAAACACCCGGAAGTTACATGGAGAAACACCTGATTAAGAATGGCTGTTCTGGGGTCAGTGCGAGGTCAAGGTTAGAACTTTAAGATCTGAGCAAACTGATCTGGGATAAGGCGTTCCAGACACGTCTTCTTCTCCTTGTTTAACGGACGAGGTTTCGGCGCACTACCGCCACCACATGGAGAGGGGCGTAAATGCGGATATAAACGGCTACTTAAATAAAACGCATAATTCGACAAAAAGAATATTTTTTTTAATTGATTGATCGATTAATTTAATATTCTTCAGTCTTCACTTTTCAGCCTGGGAGCTCTTTGCTGCTACCCAGAGTATAAAGAAAATAGTGCAGATGGGAAAAAATAGATGTATACAGGTTTGTTATTTACACCTTTTGGAAAAAAACAACATCCGACAAAAGTTACCTTGAGATAAACATAATTTTTGTGTGTCACAAATAAATGAAACATTTGACCGCTCTAATGTATATATTGATCTACAAAAATCAGTACTTCTTTGGCAAAGGTTTCCTCCATTAAACAAAGAAAAGGATGTTATAGCAGGTGGAGCTGCTTTAAATGGCAGTTTTACAGTGAGACGGCCAGTCTGACCGCAGCTCCTTATTGATGTGGTAGTAAAGCCAAGCCACAATGGGGAAAACTGTGATGGCCACAGCTGTGGAGACGCGCAGCTTCCCGACCGGAGCTCTGAGGAAAAAGACAGCAGAGTCTAAATCCATCAGAAACTCAAATTAAACTTGTGTTGAAGAGCAAATTACCTTCCAGAGCGACGACACAAAAGAAGCCAAACAGCCGTCAACGTAAGACCAGAAAATTCTCTATAGAGGGAATTTGGAAAGCAAAAGGACATTATTAATAGACTTTATCCCATTATTTCTGTCTTTAATTGGCCAAAAGCCTTAGCAGATATTTATATTTTTACCAACTATATGATAAGCTGTTATGCTTATTACTACCAGACTTTTTCCTTCAACTTAACTTTCCATTTCTATGCTGGGACACAGGACTCTGAACAGATTTTGTGCTCTTAAACCAAACTTACTTTGGATTATGTTACAGCTTTTTATTATTATTTTTTAACCTTTATACTCTACAGCAGGGGTCACCAACTCCAGTCCTCCAGTCCCACCATCCTGTAACGTTCAGATGCATCTCTGTTCAAACACACCTGGATCAAATAATCTGCTTGTTTCCAGCCTATTGCAGAGAGGAATGAATGCTGGTGAGGGAATTCAGACATTTTGGAGCAGAGGTGAATCTAAAAGTTGCGGGATGGCAGCCCTGGAGGACTGGAGTTGGTGACCCCTGCTCTACAGGCACATCTTTATTTTCCTTTTGACTGGAGCCTCAGCACACCTGCCCTCCTCCTGCTGGAAGATCTGCGTCACTCGCTCCGCGTAAAGTTTCCATCCTAACATGAAGATAGCTGCGCTGGAGATCATCAGGTGGAGATCAGCAACGCGCCTCCAGGGCAAAGTTTCTGGAGTTAAAAACCACAAACAAAACGCGTAGAAAAACCAGCTGTGATGTTACCATGTCTCCCACGAGATGGCGCTGTTAGAACTAATACATGATCTGTAACGGTGCAAAGACCAATGACTTCTCTTCAAAAGTGCAAAACAGGAAAGAGGATGTAGTTTCTGTGCAATCTGTGAGACTCTCCTGCCTACCTGTGACATGAGGTCTGAAGCCAATAAAAACACAGAGGACAGCAGGAACTGCATAACCCACCTGGAACAGAAACACGTCAAGTACAACCAGCAACCCGGGGGAAAAACTGTAAAGCCGCTAAACCTACCACCCATAAACCTGCGTCTGGATCATTGATCTGAAACAAGATCAACACATGGCACTGTTACCATTAAAAGAGTTAAACCAGAGTAAACACTCATTTATCAAGCGCTAACCTGCACATAGGAAGCCAGAGTAAAGAACACAGACATTAAAATGTTACTTAATCGCCAAACTACAGAAAGCCATGAGGTTTTCTCACAAACTTCTCCCATCGTTGTTTTGAATCGTCTTTACTCCTCCTCCCCGCCCGGGCCTCCGGGACGTACAGACGCTAGTCAGCAGACGCACTTACCGTCGCTGCACTGACGAGGGTACGTTCGATATTCACTTCTTCAGCTGAAAGATGCGGGGTGGAGAACGCCTTATAGTTGTACAAACGATTTAACGAGTGAAATTTTTTTTGTTAAATTAATAACAAAATTATTAAAATGATAATGATCTAGATATTTGACACAAATTCCTCCAACCGAGGGATGTTTGACTAAATAAACTTCATTCTCCTCTTTTAAAGACGTTGCGGAAATACGTCATAATGGCTTTTGCTGTGAAAATAAAATCCAATCGCAATTAAAAAGTCAAAATTGGTAACCGAAAGTAAAAAAAGGATAAAATAACTGATAACATGCAGTAATATACTTTTTAAATGTTCTTTATTGTCAAATCACATCAAAGCCTGTTTGTCAAGCAAGTCTGAAACTATTTCCCACTGAGAAAATGAAACGTAATGTAAATTCAATAAAATACAGCAAAAATATTGCTATAGTAAAGGAAATAAAGCAATTAAAGTTTACATGGAAACATAACCTGTTATTGGAAACAAGTAATGAACTGCTAGCAAAATAAAGGAACAGATAAATAAAAAGAATATCAGAAAAAACATTAAAATTCAATTCGAAAACAAACAAATAGCTTAGAAATAAATGTAAAAGATTATTTGAAGTTGGAAGCTGGATAAACCGTTTTCAGTACTAATTTTGTTATACATGACTGGTTTTGGAGTTTCATGTGAAATAAATTATTTGGAAAAGTGTTTCTGCTGCCTGAGTTTAATATTTAGTAATGATGCTAATTATTTATGTTATTTTTTATTATTATTTTAGGATCTAAAATACATTTCCTTACAAGTTTATGTTTTTCATTACATTATTTTAAAATGCAAAATAAGATAATCAGTTACTCAGTACTAAGGTACCTTTATTGCCAAATACCTTTTAATTTTACTTGAGTAAAAATGAAGTAGTTTTACTGCATCTGGTCACGTGGTGCATAGACCCTGGTCATGATGCACTTGGGCCGGGTCACCAACTCCAGTCCTGGACGGCTGCATCCTGCAGGTTTTAGTTCTCTCCCTGGTGGAAGCGACGACCTTTCCAGCATGTTAGTTTTCTTCTTAGGCCTTCTAACGAGCCATCATTGGATCCAGGTGTGTTAAACCATGGAGAGAACTAAAACATGCAGGATGCAGGTGGTCTACCAGGTGGGCCTGGTATTGTGTTTTATTTTGAAAGAGCTGCTACAAAACATCCGGTCCCTCCTCGGCTAACAGCTGCTGCCTTGCTGCGGTTTGTGGGTGTTGAAATGTCAGCTGATTGTTAGCCCGTCCAGCTAGCTTAGCTTAGCTGGGTGTTTGTTTTTGTCACTAGACAGCCTGCCTCTCACGCAGCCCCCCGAGCCTTAACGCGTATTTAGTCATTTCACGGACTTATTCTCTTTTTCATTCGTCGTCTGCTTCGTTTCGCGGGGCTCAGCCGCCGTCAGTGCTGCTGTAATTTTCACAGCAGCAGGGAGGAAAAGGGAGTGAAGTTGCTGTCCGAGTCTCTCTGCATTGCAGCCCCTGGCGCTGCTGATGGAATTCAAACACACAACAATGGCGACTCCTGGTTCAAACAGTTCAACGACGAGCAGCAGCAGCAACGCGGGATCCGTCACGCACCACTACCAGCAGCCGCAGCAGTCCCAGTCCCAGCACACCGCAACGATGAGCAGCATGCAGGGTAAGCGGGGAGGCTCCCGCTCCGCTGCCGTGAAGGTTAACGCTAGCACGGCTAACCCGGGGAGGCTACTCCCTACACTGACGGATATGTCACATTTTCACAATGAGTTAGCAGCTTTTTAATTGCATAACTGACTGAGATGGGAGCAAAGCTTCAGATGATCTGGGTTTTACTGAGTGGCTCTCAGTTGTTCAGGATGGGTTTGGTTCAGGCGCTTGGTTTTAGACTCTTACTTACAAAATCCCATTTTTTATTTACCGTTTCTCTCAATTAATATTCATTGGATTTGGCTGAATGAGATCAGAATAATCTGAACTATAATTGGTCTTTGTTTTCATCACCGCGTACAGATCAGTTTGATTTGACTCTGCGGAACAGGGTTGAATTGGACCAAGTACAAAAAATGAAAATAACTGAGTTTAGTTCTGAACTGCATCCAACCTGAGTGAGTTAAACTGGAAGCTAACTGGGATTGTGTGTGAACGGAATTGGAATTAAAGTGGATTTAATCTGTGTAGAATCAAATCTTTTCTGGATTAGTGTGGATTGTAGTAATTTATAATAAATTTAGGTGAATTAAGCTGTATGAAGCTGGACTTTGACTATAAGACAGTGGAGGATTAGTCTGTTTAAAACTAAAGTCAAATTTATTTGCACTGCAAATGGGAATCTATGTTAAAGCCTTTATGTTCATACCTGATTGACTTTAAGTTGAATTGAATCAAATGAATGTTTTTGGAACTTGATGTGATCCAGATGGACTGGAGTGACCTGATTTGAACTGAACTGCATATATTTTATCTAAATTGTGTTGAATTGAATCCAGTTTTTAAGTAGATTGAAAACTGATTATAAACTGAATCAATTTATTGCTGGATTGAATTGGAACCAGATTATTTTAATTAATGATTTTACTTTCATTTAAATCTGTTTTGTTCAGTTTAGCTGGATTTTCCTTTCTTGAACTGAATTGTATTCCAATGGAAGTAAATGGAGTGAATTGGATTCGATTCGTCTGTTGCTGACTTCACTTTGATAAACTGAACTGAAACGTGTTCATTTATAAAACCACCTGATTATGCTCCATTCACTTTATTCATGTTTCTCCATTTTAAATAAATATTCTTAATTATGAATGAGTCCCATCCAGTTCAGCTGCCTGCAGTTTGCCTCAGTCGTATAAAATCCGGTTTAATCTGTTCGTAATCAAACAGATTTACTCCACTGAGACTGAATGAATCTGAAGTTCAGCATTATAATTTCATCTGAATTTTATTTTCCAACCCAGTAAAGTTGAGTTTTTAATATTTCCCAGTGGATTTGAAACTGGAGCCACTTTTTGTTTGAGTCCAGATTAAATCAGATTCTGCTAACTCTGCCACGGTTCTGTTTTCTGTCCGTTTTAACTTTCAGAGTCCAACACCTGCTGGAGATGTCAGAGTGAAACAGGTACACACACACTGCTGCCACTCACCTGCTTCAAAATGATGTGAAAAACTTTCTCTATTTTTTAGAATGTGCTTTTTGATGACTGCAGCTAAGGATTAATAAAATCTTCATTAGCTGTGATTTATGTAGCTGAATTCTCTGAATGATGTCAGTCCTGATGTGTCGACTCGGTTTATTTTTCTCTGACTGTTTTGTTTCTTGATGCTGCTTCATTTTTGCTTCCTAACTCCTGATGTGATGCTGACCGATGGTGAGCTGTCCGGAGAAAATAAAACACATTTTTCCATCTGAAAAGCTTCTTCCTTCTCTTTTGATCCTTTTTGTTTTGTTTTACCTGCTGCTCATGTCTTCCTCTCATTTACCTCCATTTCATCGCGGTCCACTGTCTGCAGCAGACTTGCAGGTGCATGCTAATGCATTTCCTTTCATCAAATGCATTCTGTCTGCAAAAAGATCCTCCAGAAGCTCTAAAAACGCTGCAGAGCAACGCAGAGAATATGTTTTAAACCTGAGCCGTAAAACCAAAGAGGCAAATTTAAGCAACAGACTCTGATGTCTAACTGACAAAGCAGTCTCCTGGGGATTGTTAAAAAGAATAAAAGCTTTCTTTTCACCTCTAGGGTTTCAGATAAACCTGTCTGGAGCTCACCCAAGTAAGCCAAACCTCTTTTGCTTCAGCACCAACAGCACTCATCTTTCTTTCCGCCTGACTCTTTGGTATGGAGGGAGTCTGTCCTGCTGTTCTCCACTAATCCCAGCCTAATCACCCCGCTGGTCCTCGTAGGCCTGCGCCACCAGCAGCTGGGCTCCACAGACTTTACTGACTTTAGCAGATAGCTGCAGCATGCAGAGAAACGGCAGCTCTGCTCTGAATGGCCTGAGCCAGCATTCAGGTGTGGCTCCCAGCAGATCTCTGGCTGCTCCTCGCTGATGGAGGCCTCCGCCAGCTCCACTCTTTCAAACTCTAACTCTGTGGTTTCCAGTGTGCAACTAACAAGCAACACAAGTGTTTGCTTGTCCTGTTTTGTTTCTGGTGCTTGGGGTGTGGGTCCACTCCAGCTATCCTCACTGAAGTTGTCGTTTTGAGCCGTTTGGCCTATTCCTGCACACATTCCTGTGGTGCAAACATTCGACTCAAGGTGAAATCAAAGCAGCTAATCTTGCATGTTCCCATCATAATGTTTTTATGTTTAGCTCTTTCTTGTTTACCTTTCCACTTTGTTTGCATTCAGGGTGGAGTTCAGCATGCTGTGCTGTGTTTTTGTTACAAAGAGTCGGGGTGTAGATGAAGTGATGGAAAACAGCCCGTTTCTAAATATCCTTTTTAAAAATCAGAAGATTAGAAAGCAGAGCAGTCCTGCAGCAGATGCTGGTTCTGAAATGTTCACTCATTCGCTGATTCTTGTTTAGGTGCGACATGCTAAGTAAATACGGTTTAATGCTGTGAAAAAGGATTCGCTTCTCTTTTTTTATTTATTTGAGACCTTTAAAGTTTCAGATCATCAAACAAGATCTACAAGTAATTAATATTATGATTTTTTTTTAAATGCATTTTTAGTTTTTAAACCTACAGTCGACTGCACACTAGCACGCTAACACTTTTAATATTATGAAACTATTAGCTTTAGCTTACATAAGCTTTGCTACTAACATTAACATGTTAGCTAGCAGTGCTGGTGGCTAGCGGAGCAGTTGGCTAGCAGTGATGGTGGCTAGCGGAGCAGTTGGCTAGCAGTGATGGTGGCTAGCGGAGCAGTTGGCTAGCAGTGATGGAGG